AAAAAACATTCCTCTAGTCTGTGGTTTTTACCACCTCTCAGACGGTTGCGGTTGATCATCAAATTCGGGTGCAGTAACGTCCGCACCGCAAGTCATAAGAGTTCAGAGACTTTTCTTGCTTGAAGGTTATGATGCCATTGATTGCTTTCCTGCAGGGATATCGCAAAGGGGTTTGACCAGGACCGGCGCCCCCCTGCCGTTCATCCCACGTGATCCTGTCAGTGGACTCATTGGTCCAACGACCGACACAAGGTCGCATGACGTGTGCGCTCCATCAAAAAATAGCATTTTTATGCGAAGGTAAAATGAGTGACTCAAAATGGATCTGCTTCCAGGGGATCTAGAGCAGCAGATTCAAGAAGAAAAGACGCGGAATTAATTTGAGTACGGAGCTGAACGAGCTGGAACAGCAGACATGATATCGCATGAACATAGGATTATGTGCTCAATTTGTCTTAGCGACCCTGCTCTTCTCAGGAGGGGGCAAATCGCACTTCACTAGTTTCTTTTCTTTGTTCACGTTAGCTAGCGACTTTACTGGGTAAGACCCGTAAAATCCTGTGAAGCTGAGAAACGATACAAGCGAGCCACTTTAGTCACAGCAGTTTACATGTTGCCACATGGTGGCCGGTTTAAACTCGGCTGAGTTAAATTTGATGCCCCACCAAGCCAATATGCGCCTGTCTTCTGTATGCTATGAACTATGGACTTCCATTTGCCGCATATTTTCAGAGAATTCTTGGAAGCTATAAGTACACCGTAGTGCTACTCACCTGAACGGGTTAACAGCGACAAGAATTGGTCCAATATAGGTGTAAATGTGGCCACTATTGAATCGATCCCTGAGATTGTCGAGCAGGGTCTGTTCAGTCAATTCGGGGAGCATACATAGGTCGGCATATTCTCGATCCTACACGACACAGGTACTTCAAACTTTAAGACCCACATGAGGCTGTTGAAGAAATCTCGAAAGAAACGAGTCGATTGTACTGGCAGCTTCTGCTGAACCAAACCGGGTACATGACGATCCTGTACGGGCTCCTTTATGCCTTAATTGCTAGTGATGAGTTTGCATTTACTGGAAAATCATGGTGGTCATTACTAGTCAGTTACTTACCTGAACACAAAGCGATAGTTGCTGACCGTTTGTTCGCCACCCGGCATTCGACTCCAAATCAACTGGGCAGCAACCGGGTATTCGCCACGATCTAGTCGGCGTTCCTGAATTACCACACTCAAACATAAGGGCCTTTAAGAATGGAACAGGGGAAGGTTCTATGCGTCGGCTTAATGAAAACTTCCCATTTTGAATGCGGAAGCTACCAGGAAGGAGATTCTGGAGGTTACAGCTGTGAGATGCTTATAGATCGGTGCTGACCCCCAGCGTCCGAAGGGAATATGTAGGAGAATCGGATAGATTCCCATCTTCTCTATCGAAAAGCCAGATCGATATCTATACTTTTCCCTGGTCTCCATCTCTCCAGCTTTCCGAGTCGCAAAGTATGAACTGCGGGCCTACCGACTTGTTTCCAGGTCAATTTTGAAGCTTGCGACGAGCGGCGCACAGGGAAAGTGGTATTTGGTGAGACGCAGATTTCAATAGGCGTAGTTCGGCTTGGTTGGGGTACCAAATGGTACTTAACTGATGTAAGACCTCCTTCTGATTGGCCTACAATATTCCTGTGACCAAAGTGGCCCACTGGAAGGCCCACTGGAACCACATCGCAGCTTCATGAAGGTTCACAGGGGTTCCCAAAGTAGACCTGATAATTGAAGTTCACTAACAAATGCTTGCAAAAAGTAAAATGCCACCTGTGAGCCGAGCAGCGCCCCTTCGCATTTGCTGCCGATTTCCCGCAGGAAATATAGCGAGAACTTCATCTCATCTGATTCGAACACTGTCTTGGTGAGAAGGCGCAGACAAGCAGGCATGAAACGGCGTAGTCGCCAGGGCACATCATCGTTGGAGACTCCCCAATAAGAGGTCGTATTTGGTTGCTGGGGGAGGGAGTCCTACATGATGAGAATTTTTATTTGATACCGACTTGATGTCCTTATATAAGAGGTCGTATTTGGTTACTGGGGGAGGGAGTCCTATATGAAGTGAGCAATTTTTATTTGGCATTGACTTTTCTTATTTCACGGACGCTATAAGGAAGGGTGGTTCTTATTTGCCTTCTGCCCCCCCCCTCCCGTCTCCACGCTAAATTTTAAGGAAAAAGTAGGGAATTCTTCGGGGCATTCTGGAAAAAGCGGTAAGTGGAAAAATCTAAGAAATTGGTGGGTAAAATGGGGAGGGTCGTGGGAAGAAGGACCACTAGCCGCGCCTTGCGTCCCTTCCTCCAAAAGCTTACACCCACAATTAGAGAAGATCAGAGTCGCCGAGAGATAATTCCGCAGAGAAGAGATGTCTCCACTAAGCCAAGCCTGGATTAGAGGAAGTTTTACAGAAGCGCAGCCAAATACTCCCCCCTCAGCTACGTTAGCGACACTGAGAATGTTGCGTTTACTAACTTTTGAGGCCTGTCCATCCGGCGTCACCATCATCTCGAAAATGTCAAAGTCCTCAGCAGATTGTCCAACCAAGTCTGAACAGAACATTCTTTGTCTACTCACTATTGCATAGCGATTTCCCTTCAGACTCACCTTGACGTTGAGAGATCACTCGCTCGATGAGCTCCTCAGTGGTGGAGCGCTTGTGCAGGTCGATACATACACGATCATTCTGGTCTTCAGGATTGAAACAGTGCATGTACACCTGGAAAACTCAGTTCGATAGATGCTCCAGCTCATGAGAGGAGCAAATGTCAAAGCTTACCGTGACCATATAGTTGTGCGCTTCATCAGGAGCTGTAATGGTGTGCGCACGCCTGGGAAAACATCCCAGGGCGCTCGAAGAGATCGAATCAAACGACATCAATGGACGTATGAGGGTTGGATTAGAGGGTACATCTGATCACTTAGCAAACCGTCGCCTTGTTCTGTAGCTACCGTAACGAGTTGCTAGCATAGAGAAGCTTTGCTTTGAGCTTTCAAAGCGGCAAACTCCTGAAATTATATGAAGAGCTGGTTGAAAATATTCAAATTTCGAAGTAGGTCGACGATGTCAAATGTAATTCTACAGAGCAAAAATGCAGAAAATTCATCTTTGTATCCCACAGTTGGGGAGGGCGTGGCTGCGTACTCCATCTGAACTGGCGTGTGATGCGCTTTTGGAAAGATATTTCCATTCGGAAGCAGCTGCCACCTTCCTTTATACTGAACAAAGCAGATGATTACAAGTCCTCTGATGAACGAATATCCCATCAGAAGACATCCGCCACCTTCAAATTATGTACGCGGCCACGCCTTCCCAGTTCAAGGATATGGAGTGGCATGTACATCCAATAAAGGGCAGTGCTGCGACAATCCTGACAGATGGGCTTCCCTTTTGTCTCGATTACCTCGATTATTGAAACCACAGCGCATCACCGTTGCTAGACTCAGGGCTCCTGCTGGGCAGCTTGGCAGAGGGGGTCGTACTTGGCCCCGGAAAGTTCTTTCAACTGCGGAATCGTCTCGTCTCAGGCGTTTTGTACCTCCCCCTTGAATAACGGTGTGGCGAGACTTTTTTGAAATTTTTCAAAATAAGGTCTTCAAAGTTTTTCAAACTAAAGCTTTTAGTAGTTGTTCGATAACGTCTACCCACCGTCCCCTTCCCTTTCTCCCTCGAAGGCTGAGAAGAAACCGGTAAAATGGAAGGTAGGACGTGAAAAAGGATCGTTCAAAAAGGAAAAATTGAGGGGAAGGGGGAATGTGCAAGGCACTGTCACGTGCCCTGATTGGGCAGGATCCGGCGGAAGCCATCCAGGGGCTTTATCCCGGAGGCAAGAGCTCCGACCTAGACGAAACCTATCCCAGGCATATTACTGGTCGCACGACTGGAACAGTGATGACTACTTTTTCTTCGATGCGAATGCTCTAGCCTGCCACGCCCGGGTTTGGCAAGGCGCCAATCCAATCTCGACCATTGTTGAAACAAGGAAGCTACACTGACTGGTGGAAAACGGTCTGGCGTCGTTCCAAACCAGCTTCCTGATACCCCCCCCAACATACCAGCAGTGAGTAAGACTACACTTCTCGTTTCAGTGAGCTCCACGTCGCGGCGGTTGATACCAGTGCGATTCAGAGCCATGGTTTATCGATCAACACTAGGTGATCTAGAGGTTCAGTGATGTTGCTTGGGGATCGCTGAAGCGTTCTTAACGGCAAATCTCTTTAATTTTCTGTCTTTTTCAGCCTCTGCTATAGGCACTCAAAAGTAAGCCTAGTAAAGTTCTTTACTGTTATTAAGGGTTCAAAACGTAGCACAGTGATCTTGCGGGGTGGTCATGGACGGGCAGTGAAGCGGCGTCCTGAGAGTTAAGCTAGCCACGCTCAGTCACCAGCCCGATCTCTTCGTCTGAG